AACTCAAACATGTCATTGGAGATTAAACCTATATTTCAATGACATTGACTGTCAGTTTTAAACTTTTTTTATCATTCAAATTTTTATTTAAACTATTTATTATAATTTTTTAAATATTTCAAAATTTTAATTTTTTAAATAATAATAATAAATATTATTATTAAGTTTAGTACAATGTTGAAACAAACACATGACAGTATTATATTTAATCCGATCCAATTCACTTCTTTTCATTCCAATCCCGAACGAAAAAATTAATTCAATCTAGTGCGATGCACCAAACGCACCTTAAGTGATATTTTTTATTAAGTAAAAATTATATTTTGCTTATATATAAATTAGAGCATTTCCAAATAATTCTTTATATGACTTAAACTCTTTATTATAAAGAGTTTATCTATAAAACAAGAGTCCAATATACTTTTTATCTTTAAATTATAAATTAGGGAGTGAGTCAAACTTCAATCTCTATCCTAATTTTAATTAATAAACTACAAATTCTTATATATTTTATTTATTAATTATCTCTCCTATTAAGTTTCTTTCTTAAAAATAAAAAGTATCTTTATTAAATTAAAAAAATCTACTAGATTTAGATAAAAATTATGTTCTTTATATTTTAAAATTAATAAAAATTATTTTTATGAAAAATGCTTTTAAAAATAAACAACAACATATTTAGAGATGCTCTTACATACGTACAAAATTTCAAATTTGTGAATAAAAATTGAAGTCATAATATCGAAGGAAAACAACAAACAAGTGAATAAGTACAAGTCAAGGCAAGAAGTTAATGCATTTGAGAATTGGCCCATTTCTTCAACTGCCTATCATTTATGTCTTTGAGAAAGTCATTATATTAGTTGCACTCAGAAGAGAGAGAGAGAGAGAGAGAGAGAGAGAGGAGGAGGAAGAGGGAGATCTTTCTCTTTTCTCTCTGGTTTATGAAAATCACCATCTGGGTTTGTTGAAAAACTGTGGATAATAGAAATGGAAATGGAAGTCAAAGACTCTGAAAATGAAATTGGAAAAGAGCAAGTGGAGGAAGGGTTTAATGGAGAGCAAAGCAATGAGATTGAGAGAAGCAAAGTTGGTATCATGAGAGCTCTTGTTGAAAGAGAAGATCCCTCTTCTAAGGTTCTCTTTTCTCTATTTTTTTCATTGCCCTTTTTGATTTTTTGACTCTTCTTTATTATATGTTTGATCGAAGAGCTTGCTTTTTACTTTAATTTGTTTTCAGTTTTTTGAAGCAAAATGACTTAATGAGTATAGAGTTTAGTGTTTTTTCTTCTAAATTGTGATAAAATTTTGCCATATTGCTCTAAACTCTTTCCATTTAGATTTGGTTTGCTTCTGATTTTGGGGGATTTCTTGATTTGTGATGAAAATGTGAGTTGAATTTCATGATTTTAAGTTAATGAGAACATAAATTCAGCATTAGTATGTGTTTTGTGAGTCAAAACTCTCAGTTTTAGCTCAATGGAGATGTAACAGATGCTTGAAAATAATCTTCACCCTTGTTTATCATCAGAATTGCTTTGTTTCTAAATTTTCATGAATGCCCTTTTGCTTTGAAGCTATGTATGCAATTTTTCACACATTTCATTCACATCACTTGTGGTTTCAGGAAGTTGATGATTTGATGATTCGGAGATTTCTACGAGCTCGTGATTTGGATATAGAGAAAGGTTCTACCATGTTTTTGAAGTACCTAAGCTGGAGGCGAACGTTTGTTCCCAATGGCTTTATATCGGAATCAGAGATTACAACTCAACTCTCCCATAACAAGTTCTGTATGCAAGGTCATGATAAGAAGGGGCGCCCTATCGTTGTCGGCTTCGGTGGTAGACACAAGCCCAATGAAGGAAGTATAGAGGAATTCAAGCGTATGCTATATGTCTGAAACTAAATATTTTAGATTGGAAATTAAAGAATTCCCTTTTCTTTTTCATTCATCTTGTCATGTAACTGCACAATTGAATCAAACATACTTTTCCAAAATGGATTTACATCTCATCTTTGTGTTCCTTTATTTTTTTGCAGGTTTTGTCACCTACAGTCTGGAAAAAATATGTGCCAAGTAATTCATTCTCATAATGATATTGATTTCTGTGGCTGAATTTCTTTTCTTCATTGTTGAATTCACTTAGTGGATGAATTAAGCTTATATGTATTTCATTTCTTCTTGTTCAGAATGCCGAAGGGGCAGGAAAAGTTTGTGTGCATTGGGGATCTTGATGGATGGGGATATGCCAGCAGTGACATTCGGGGATATGTTGCGTGTTTATCAATCTTGCAGGTTTGATCAATCTTCCACCCTGCACTATTCTGTCGGAATGTCAAATTATTGATGTACTTGATTAAAAAATTAAGTGAAAAGTGCTCCTTCACCCTCTTCTGTTGTAATTTTGCTTCTAGATATGCATTGTAAATATATTTAGGTAACAGGAAAGCATATATCACAATATCAGTAGCAAAGTTATCACAGAAATAGCCGTGCACCTTAGAAGCTGATTGCTGTTATTGAACATTTTGATGACAGGATTGCTATCCGGAGAGACTGGGCAAATTATATATAGTTTACGCGCCTTACATATTCATGACCGTGTGGAAGGTTGTTTACCCATTTATCGACAACAACACCAAAAAGAAGGTAAAGTACGCAATGCCTTTTCATTGCTATAAACACATTTTCTGGCTCGTTGAGCTCATAAGTAACGGATTATGAAACACCAAATGTAATATTTTTGACTTATCCAATCCTTGAAATGGTTAAGTAGAGAAAATTGATAATGCTTTAAATCAAAGAAATTGGATACATCCAAGCCACTATTACAGGCCGAGCAAAGCTAGCTCACCTAACCTAATACATTATTGCAATAATCCAAACTCTAATTATAAGTTTGTTGACTCTTTACAGATAGTATTTGTTGAGAAGAAAAAGATGAAGTCCACCCTGCTTGAGGACATTGATGAAAGCCAGCTTCCAGATATATATGGAGGCAAACTGCCATTAGTCTATATACAAGACTGCTAATTTGGTGACACCACACCATGAGAAGTCTATTATTGCTGCTCTATAATTTGGAGCTTACACTGAGAACTAGACATTATAATAAAAATTCAAATATGAATTTTGTTTCGCATTTTAATTGTGTATCGCTATCAAAAATAGTTGATTAGGGATCAAGAGTATACACTCATGCATCTTCTTTGTGCTCGGTACCGTTGTCAGAATAACAAGAATCCATTCTCTATTAAATTAAAACAATACATATTGTGTTTACAAACTGATATAGCATTCCTCTTTTTCTTCTGAGTTCGACTGACCTACAAAATCACATCTATTTAGAGCTACTAATCGGATACCTTTTGTAGAGGTGCACATTCCCCCCAGGAGAAGATGTATTGTGATGCATATGTCAACTTCTCGTGGTAGTAGTGTCATTTCCATAATCTTTTATACAAACTGTTATAATTATGCGACTCATATGGTTCACGGAGTCATAAATATGATGAATAAACACTTCAAAATTTACGACTCCGGTGACCCCATCCTGGTCTGTGCTGTATCTTCATTTTCGCTCAGTACTGTTAGCATTTATAATATAACTTAACATGCTGAACCAAGTGCCAGCTTTATAAATCAGAAAAATAAGTTTTCATTGTCACCCTCTGTCATTATATAACAAAAAGGGAAATACTACATTGACAAACCTTTTTTATTAACTTTTTCTCATAAATGTGATATGACAGTTTATAATTAATCAACTCGTAATGAATCTCGTCTGCTCAACAATAGGTCATGTCTGACCAATTGTGAGTTGTCATATCACGTTTGTGAGAGAACGTTAGTGAAAAAAGTTTATCAACCAATCTTTATTGTAACAAAAATATTACATTTATAATTCAATCTTACAATCTTCTCTTACAATCCTAACGTGACAGCAGAGTTAACGCTACGACATCAATTGACGGCTTTGACTAAACATGAACGGTTGTTCCTTAAAAACGAACGATGGTTCCTTAGGGACAAATGACCGTTCATTCATAAGGAATTGTTGTTTCATTCATAAAGAACGATTGTTCCTTAGTTCCTTCATAAGAAACTAAGGAACAATTGTTCCTTATGAATTAAATAACCACTCCTTATGAATCAACGACCGTTCGTCCCTAAAAAATGACCGTTCATGTTTAATCAAAGTCATTTAGTGTCTTGAACGTGGTGCAAGCTAATGTGATAGTTTTCAACTCAAGTATTACGTTGGAATTATAAGAAAAAATTGTGAAATTAGATTGTATGCATAGTATTACTCTTTGGGTAATATTATTTCCCCTCAGTTTCAAAATTGATTGTGGCCACCCAATTTTAAGGGTCGAAAGTTAAAGTTAACAAAAGAAAAGTATTAATGTCAATTTGCTTGTACATATACCATTAAAATAATAAAATCGAACTTGGTTTCGAAAATTAACAATGTCACTTCCAATCTTTACAGTCAAACATTAAAGTTAGCAAAGAAAGGGGCAACATTGTTAGCTTCTAAAACCAGGGAGGGCAAACTGATAGGTTATGCCAGCTATATGAAACTTTTGATATAAAACGCATGCTTAGAGATTCAAATCCACTTGTAAAGCCTGGTCTCAAAGCTGATTAGCTTAAGTTGGACAAAATTAACTTTTGTTAACAGTCAAATTAAGCAATAGACTTAGAACAGCTCTTAAAAGAGATAAAGCAAGTCAAATTTTCCTTTATATTGCATAAGTTCACCCATAACAGAGTAAGAACACCATGATTTGGCTTCTCCTTTAATACAAAGTTTCAGTTTTCCAATTAAAAATATACAAAATAAAAACATGATACAACTAGAGTAAGGCACTTTCTTCCTTGGATGTTACCTTAACGAAAACTAAAATCTCCAATGTCAAAATTTAATTCACAACATCAACTTTAACGAATTTAAGAAAACCCTACAACCAAATCTTCAAAAAGGTAAAGAACATCTCAAAACAATTCTGTTATTTAATAGAATTTACTTTTCGTACCCTCAAAACTGAAAACGCTCAATAAATTTCCAGTTGTATTATTCAGAATCTGAGTTTCCTGCCCAGATTTCTCGGCAGACAGAATATCTAAATGTGTAAAGCAAACAAAATAGCCAAAAGGAAAATTAAATAAATTCGCAAAATCAAACTTCCCTCATCTGTAAGAAAATTTCTATTATGACATCATGCAGTAGCACTAATGCTCAAAAAATGAACTCCCCTACTAACACTCACCCGATAAGTAACTTGTTTTCTTCCAAGAAACTATAAGTGGGCACCTCTAGATTATATGGTGCCGGTCCCTTGCGAATCCTGCCAGAGATGTCATAGTGTGAACCGTGGCAGGGGCAAAACCAACCGTTGAAGTCGCCAGCATTTGGTAAGGGAATGCATCCCAAGTGGGTGCAGACACCGACAACAATAAGCCATTCTGGATTCTTAACCCTGGCGGCATCTTCCTGTGGGTCACGAAGAGATGCAACATCAACACTGTTAGCCAAGTTAATGTCCTCTTCCGTCCGACGCCTGATGAAAACTGGCTTCCCACGCCACTTGACAGTAACAGTTGTCCCAGGCTCAATGCTGGAGAGGTCAACCTCAAGAGAAGCAAGGGCAAGAACATCTTTGCTCGCAGACATGCTCAGAACCAACTTGAGGATCAAGAGACGAAGTAAAGAGGCATACACAAACCTGCCACCTGTCAAGACAAAATATGCAAATGCACGCTTGTTGGGGTCACCAGGCGGATAACGCTCATGATTGTACTCATCATAGGTAATTTTTGAAGTTGGGTTTTTCACAGCTGCCACAGTAGCTGGGAGGTCCGAGATCATACCCATATCATGTCCTGGAGTGAGGGCATCAGAAGAGAAACCTGGAAACCAACGTCACCAAAACAGCAGTCAACACATCATCTCCATGCTCATAAAATTCAATAAAAATATAGAAATGACAATCAATTTTGTCTCACCACGCCACACCTATTATCCAAAACAAAAACATATTCCACATTACCAATGGCAGAATAGCACACAAGATAATCTAGAAGGCTTCCATTTATTTCATCAGCAGAAGCCAAACACCTAACAATATCTCCCAAGGTTTCATTTTAGAGTGAAAATTTACTCTATACGTTCTCTACACAGACAATAACAAAAAGGTGGGAAAGATTTGTTTCTATCTGGTCCAATATTCAGGAAAGATCACTAGTTCCTAATAGATTAGGAAAATCTATTAAATATAACAACAAATCTTCTAAGAAACATCATCAGTTTACAGAAATTGATTCCAATAAATCTTACTATCATGAACATAGAAAGTTTATACACAAAGCCACTTTTTCCAAGGAAACACAAATTTATACAACTAAACCTCATTAAAAAGACTCAACCCTTAACATTCATGCTCATACACACCAAACACAAATACGGTGAAAAAGAAGATCAAGGTATAAGAAAGTGTTAGAAATCTACGGACATGCCAGAAGAATAACATAACACCAACTCATATCATAATTGTGAGCCAAACATTTACTAAGCTCAAAAGAATTAACCCTTCGACTTCTTCAATACGACTTAAAAATGAATAAATCCATCCTCTTTAACAACCGACGAATTATGATCAAAATAAAATTCAAATTTCGCCTAACTTTTTTTTTTTTTTTTTTTTTTTGAGATTCTATTTTCGTTTTTGAAAATAAAAAATAGATTGAGCCCCAGTAACACAACTGATAATATCGCAGTGCCCTAATTCTATCAAAAATAATTTAAATTTCAAGATTTTAACGTTTGTTACGAATTTCAAAACCAGGCTCGTGGACTTCATGAAATTTATCCAAAACATAAAAACGAAAGTGAAAGGTAGAAGTGAAACCTCTGATTAGATTCGGAAAGCGGGAAGGGAAAGCGAAAGGAAGAGGACAATTAGTGGATCTGGAGTTGTCGGCGTCAGCATCGGCGGCGGCGGCGGCATGATGATTAAGGGGAGTGTTTCCGGCGAGGAAGGCAGAGGTTGTATGTGGTGGCTTCCACGGCTGAGATGAGAGCCTCCTCCCTGCAACTCTCAACATCTTTCAATGTTAGGGTTTCACTGTCACGAGATCAAATGTAGCTTGCCTTCTTCTGTTTTGTTTTGAGTTGGGGTGGTCAATGTTAGAAAAGTAAAATGTTAGGGTTCCGCTGATCTAGATCCTGACTTGATCTGTTTTAAATTGGAATTGGGGTGGTAAAAAGTTATAAAATTAAAATATTAGGGTTTTACTAAATTCAGGCTGACTTCTTCCATTATTTTTTTTTTAAATTAGGATTTGGGGGTGATCAATGTTAGAAAAATAAAAGTAATGGTCCTAACCGACAAATTTTTGCAGTAGAAACGATGAAGTTTCTTAGTCTGTTATTTTAGAGAACTAGTTGAAAGTCTCATGCGTTATGCAAGTTACTAATGATATTGGCTTTGACACTATATTTGTTTGAATAATTGAATGTTTCAATTAGTTGATATTTAATATTGAGGTACATACATTGTATAGGTCTATCAAATTAAAGATTTTAATTATATATAGTTTTACATAATGATTTTAATGTGTGGGGTCGTTTTTTAGCGCCAAAATGTCTAATGTTTTAAAATGATATTATTTCATATATTGTTTTTAAATAACTTATCATTTCTTTTAAGTGTGGTTCAACCACAATTGGAAGGGTCTACAGCTATCCAAATTCAGCGTATAATATATGAAATTAAAGACTTGTTTGTCTAGTTTTTAAAGATTCAACCCTCTCATCAATTAGATTTTTATTGAGCAAGTTATAGCCCATCTATTACCGACTGTTCAATAGAAATTGAGAAACAGTGAAAACTAAAATGTGTGTGATGATAAAATGAATGGTTTGGAAGCAGGTCTAGAATTATCCAAATCCAGTGTAAAAATAAATTAAAGCCCTATCTATCTAGTTTCCAAATATTCAAACCTCTCATCAATTGGATTTTTATTAAGCAAGTTACGGCCCATTTAATACTGACTGTTCAGTGGGAACTGAGAAATGAGAGAAACTGAAATGTGTGTGCTGATAAAATGAATGGTTCAACAAGGGGTCTAAAACTATCCAAATTTAGCGTATAATATATTAAATTAAAGCCCTATCTATCTAGTTTCCAAATATTCAAACCGTTCATCAATTGGATTTTTATTGAGCAAGTTATGGTCAATTTACTACTGACTGTTCAGTGAAAACCGAGAAACTGGGGAAATCGAAATGTGTGTGATGATAAAATGAAAGGTTCAGCAATGGGTCTAAAGTTATCCAAATTCAGCCCATAATATATAAAATTAAAGCTCTATCTATCTAGTTTCCAAAGAAACAAACCATTCATCAATTGGATTTTTATTGAGCAATCAATGGTTAATTTACTACTGAGTATTCAGTGGAAACCGAGAAACGAGGGAAACCGAAATGTGTGTGATGAAAAAATGAATGGTTCGGCAGGGGTCTAAAGTTATCCAAATTTAGTGTATAACATATCCAATAAAAGCTCTGTCTGTCTAGATTTCAAATATTCAAACCATTTGTAAATTGGATTTTTATTGAGAAAGTTATGGCTAATTTACTACTGATTGTTCAGTGGAAACTGAGAAATGAGGCAAACCAAAGTGTGTCTGATGATAAAATGAATCGTTTGGTAGTCGGTCTACTATTATCCAAATTCAGCATATAATATCTCAAATGAAAGTCCTATCTGTCTAGTTTCTAAAGATTCAAATCGTTCATCAATTGGATTTGTATTGAGCAAGTTATGGTTAATTTACTACTGATTGTTCAGTGAAAACCGAGAAACATGGGAAACATAAATATGTGTGATGATAAAATGAATGGTTCAGCAATGGGTCTACAGTTATCTAAATTCAGTGTATAATAAATCAAATTAAATCCTTGTCTATCTAGTTTCCAAAGATTTAAACCGTTTGTCAATTGGATTTTTATTGAGCAAGTTATGATCAATTTACTACTAACTATTCATTGGAAATTAAGAAACGAGGGAAACCAAAATGTGTGTGATGATAAAATGAATAGTTTGGCAGTGGGTCTACTGTTATCCAAATTCAACATGTAATATATAAAATTAAAACCCTATCCGTCTAGTTTCCAAAGATTCAAACCGTTCATCAATTGAATTTTTATTAATCAAGTTATGGTCAATTTATTATTGATTATTCAGTGGAAACCGAGAAATGGGGGAAACCCTATCCGTCTAGTTTGATGATAAAATGAATGGTTCAACAATGGGTCTACAGTTATCCAAATTCAGTATATAATATATCAAATTAAAGTTTTATCTGTCTAGTTTCCAAATATTCAAGTCTTTCGTCAATTGGATCATTATTGAGCAAGTTATGATCAATTTACTTTTGACTGTTTAGTGAAAACCGAGAAACAGTGGAAACGAAAATGTGTGTGATGATAAAATGAATAGTTTAGCAGTGGACCTATAGTTATCCAAATTCAGTGTATAATATATAAAATTAAAGCCTGTCTATCTAGTTTTCTAAAGATTCAAATTGTTCATCAATTGGATTTTTATTGAGCAAGTTATGGTCAATTTACTACTAACTGGTCAGTGAAAACCGAGAAACGAGGGGAATATATATGTGTGTGATGATAAAATGAATGGTTTGAAAGTGGATCTACAGTTATCCAAATTTAGTGCATAATATATCAAATTAAAGTCCTATTTGTCTAGTTTTTAAAGATTCAAATTGTTTGTCAATTGGATTTTTATTGAGCAAGTTATGGTCAATTTACTACTGATTGGTCAGTAAAAACCGAGAAACGGGGGGAACAGATATGTGTGTGATGATAAAATGAATGGTTCGGCAGTGGGTCTATATCCAAATTAAATATATAATATATCAAATTAAATTCTTGTCTATCTAGTTTTCAAAGATTCAAACTGTTTATCAATTGGATATTTATTGAGCAAGTTATGGTCAATTTACTAATGATTGGCTAGTGAAAACCGTGAAACAGGGGAACGGATATTTGTATGATGATAAAATGAATGGTTTGGTAGTGGGTCTACAATTATCCAAATTTAGCATATAATTTATCAAATTAAATCCCTATCTGTCGAGTTTCCAAAGATTTAAACCGTTTGTCAATTAGATTTTTATTAAGCAAGTTATGGTCAATTGACTATTAACTATTCAGTGGAAACTGAGAAACGGGAGAAACCAAAATATGTGTGATAATAAAATGAATGGTTTGACAGTGGGTCTATAGTTATCTAAATTTAGTGTATAATATATCAAATGAAACTCTGTCTGTTTAGTTTCCAAAGATTCAAACCGTTTGTTAATTGGATGTCTATTGAGCAAGTTATGGTCAATTTACTACTGGTTGTTCAGTGGAAACCGAGAAACGAGGGAAACAGAAATGTGTGTAATGAAAAAATGAATGGTTTGGCAGTTGGTGTATAGTTATCCAAATTCATAGTATAATATATCAAATTAAATCCCTGTCTATCTAGTTTCCAAAGATTAAACCTCTTCGTCAATTGGATTTTTATTAAGCAAGTCATGGTCAATTGACTACTGACTGTTCAGTGGAACCCAAGAAACAGGAGAAACCAAAATGTGTGTGACGATAATGGTTCGACAATGGGTCATAGTTATCCAAAATCAGCATATAATATAAAATTAAAGTCCTGTTTGTCTAGTTTCTAAATATTCAAACCGTTCGTCAATTGGATTTTCATTGAACAAGTTATGGTCAATTTACTTCTAACTATTTAGTGGAAACTGAGAAACGGGGGAAACCAAAATGTGTGTGATGATAAAATAAATGGTTCAGCTGTGGGTTTACAGTTATCCAAATTCAGTGTATGATATATCAAATTAAAGCATTGTCTATCTAGTTTCCAAATATTCAAACCGTTCGTCAATTTGATTTTTATTAAGAAAGCTATGACCAATTTACTACTGATTATTCAGTGGAAACTGATAAACAGGAGAAACTGAAATGTGTGTAATCATAAAATAAATGGTTTGGCAGGGGGTCTACAGTTATCCAAATTCAGCATATAATATATCTAATAAAAGCCCTATAATGATATAGTATAATATAAATAGAGTTACATATTTCATCTCACAATAAAACAGAATGGTTCAACTTCTGGATACAATTCTATAATACAAATTTAAAGGACTTATTGGTAATGAATAATGGTTTAGCTTCTGATCAAAATGGTATTGTATTCACTAAAAAGAACATTACAATATTACATTTGTTAATGAATAATGGTTTGGCATCTGGTCTCTTGTAATTCTATAGTACAATCTAAAAGGATTTGCATCCTTCCTATTACAATTAAACATATGGTTCAGCTATTTGCTACAATTCTATAGGACAATGATAATTGTTCAGCAATTGGACTCTTATAATGTTACAGTAACATGGAAATAGAGTTACTTCTTCCCTTTTACAATAAAACAGTATAGTTCCGCCGCTGCCTCAAAATGGTTCCAATGAATAAAAATGGTTCAATATCTGACTACAATAACATATTAGTCAATAAATTGCAACTGCGCCTAAAAATGGTTCCAATGAATAAAAATGGTTCGATATCTAACTACAATAACATATAAGTCAATAAATTGCAACAACGTCTGAAAATTTTTCATTTTTAACAAAACATAAATAGCAATAATAAACCGCATTTACAAAGGCATAGATAATTAAATACATTACCTTCGGTAGCACGTAATTCGCAACGCTAGCAACAAATATCATGATTCGACTAAAAGTATATACCTACACTAAAAAAAAAAAAAAAAAAAAAAAAAGTTTAACATTACACTAGCCAAACCAAAGAAAAACAATTAAAAGTTCAGTATCTCTCTTTCTTCACATAAACATGTAATAGAGTATATATATATAATATATATATATATATATGATTCAAAGAAACGTATCCTTTAAGTGATACAAACTTATCTTTCAAATTCAGTAAAATCACAATACACCGTATCAATTCATTATTGTTGCATTTATTCATGTATATAATTATAATCAATATTAACTATCATACTCTTTCAAATTTTGTGCCTTCACATTCTATACCCTCCGCTTTCAATTAGAAAGAAACAATGAAAGTCAATGTATAATCATAAATAATTTATCATGAATGTGAAGAGTTTCTATTGATCTATTTAATATAATAATAATAATACAAAATAGCCTAAACCAATAACATAGTGACACTTGAAGCAAATATAGCCTGAACTAATAACATGTTGACACTTGTAACAATATAGAGTTTTATGTGGCGTTTAAATAACAAGTGCTTCAGGATTAATAGATATATAGATAGGTAGATGGAAATTTAGAATTTTGGATAAATTTAAAAAAATAACAAAAAAGCCTCTAAAGTTAATTTGAAATTTATAAAATAATTCTAAGAAATAATTGTAAACTTTGTAAAATTCATGCTACATTTTAAAGTTTACAAACGCATAAAGTTTAAGTTTTACCTAATAGATGCTAAGTTTCAAACGCACTAACTGATTTTTTAAAATTTCATAAAAATATGAAAAATTCTCATAAAAATACTAAAAAAAAAAAAAAAAAAAAAAACCCCAAAAAAAACCAAAAAACCCCAAAAAAATCCAAATCCTAGTATAAGTAAATTAAAAAAAAAACCTCCAAAAATATAAAAGCTATTTAATAATTTTCAAAAATTACTAAAACGCTTAAACAATATTCTTTAAAATGGATGAGATTAACCCTATTAAAATATGCATATCTTTTGTGAGGAAAACATAAAGCATATATCTAAAAGAATAATATTATATGGGTGCATTTGGTTTAGAGAACGTTGTATTACTGAGAATATTATATTAATGGAAAGATAGATTACCTTGAAGATTACTGGGAATATTTAGAAAAATGTGTTTGGTTGGTTTAAATAAATTGATGGGCATATTATATTAATATATTTGGTTGGGAGAAATAAATTGATGGGTATGTTATATAGATTACTAAATTGTATTCCTTTTAAAATATTAATATAATATTATTTTTTGAATAATTTCTTTACCCCCCTACATTTGAGATTTTGCTAAAACACTCTAGTCACATAAAAGTTTAATTTTTAATAAAAACACCCCTACCTACCCAAGCCACCGCCAACCACCTAAACCATCGCTTGTCGTCAATCGAGAAGTGCAACGGAGATGTTCTTTGAGGGGTTTTGAAGAGGAGGTGAAGGGGAGTCAATTGGTTCAAGTAGGGGTGATTTCCTGTAGAAAATGCAATTGAAAGAGCGCCAAGAAAAAGAGAAATCACGCAGAAAAATAGTGGGCTTCGTCGGTGATTGAGGGCAGCTTCGGTGATGGAGTTTGGTGGGTTTGAAGAGGAGGTGAAGGAGAGTCGATCGGTGCAAGTGGAGGTGATTTCTGGTAGAAAACACTACCAGAAAAGTACTGAGAAAAAGGTAAATCGCAAAAAAACAATGGGCTTTGCCGGTGATTGGGGGCAACTCCGATGATGGGGTTTAGTGGGCTTTGAAGAGGAAAACGAGAGGAGTAAGATGGTGGTGGTTGGGGCCGACTGTGATGCTGGAATCAACCCATATCGGGCTTAATACCGGCGGTTGCCCAACCCAAAAAATCCAAGATCCACGGCCATTTTTCCATTTACAACCATTAATATGGCCGAAAAAGGCCATATTGACGCATGACCGGTAAGTCATACGCCATTCTAGCGATGTTGGCTGCCGATGATGGTGGTGGTGGCAGGCTACAACAGTCCTCTTAGCTGGCTTGTAAATTGTTTTAGAAACAAGAGCATTACTGTCCAGAACTTTAATTATTTAGGGTAAAATTGTAATGGTAGAGTTCATGTAAATCAATTTCAAATAAGGGCAATATTGTCCAAAAATTTTAATAGTGAAGTGCAAAATTGTAACAAAATAAGATTACCAAATAATCTCATAATACCTAAGAAAATTGAAGTAATTAGATTGCCTCATAAATTACTAAAAGTAACTACTATTGATATTAGAAGATTACTAGAATCTTATATTACCTAATAACCAAATATGATAATCAATTAATATATGATGATATTATCCCATTAATCCTATATAACCTACAACCAACGCCCCTTATATATATAAACTCTTCATACAAACCTTTTTATTGAAACTAATGTGTGAAAATAGTAAAGGAATGAATACATATCAAAACCAACTCATTAAATGCTTAATAAATAGTAATAATTACATTGTCATGTTAGTTTGTATACATTAGTTTGTACATGAACACCAATTTTATATAAACCAAATTATGAACCCAAACAAAAAATGTATTCAACAAGTAATTTCTTACCAGTGTTTTAAAACCTAGCCCAGCTCAATCGGTTGAATCGATTCAACCGAGACCCGGGGCTTTCACCAGGCTGGATTACCTGTTTCACCATTCATCAAAAACCCTAAAAATTGGGATGATGATCGGCGAACGATTGAAGGCTGAGATATTAGGGTTTTTGAAGAAAGAGTGGCGACGGAGTTGATTTCCGATGAGTGAATCGACCAAAAATCCAAAAAAGCAGGTGACTGTAACAACCGACTTTTGTTGGCAATTGGTGAGGCTAACAGGGGTAAGGTGAGATGAGTTTTGGTCAGGAGGCTGAGCGGAGTATTTTCATGATGATGGGGAAGGTTGTCGACGTTAGCGTCGGTGAGATATGGCCTAGAATGTCCACGTCAATGAGATCTGATTTCGACCAGATATTAGATGGATATTCTAGAGAATGGAATCAAGGGATGATTGGAATTGCATTTGGTGTATTATTGCCACCAACCAATCGATTGATTTATATTTAGTCTGTGTTTGTTAAATTTCAAACCTATAAGGACTTACTTACAATTTTTAAGAGTATTTATAAATTTAAAAATTTTTGTTACCTAGCTTAACCAGCCAATCAACCCAGGACCAACAACTTTGCCGGGTTATACCCCGGATTGGTTATTAAAACATTGTTTCTTACAAAACAATTCACAACAAATCTATTAAAAGAAAAAAAAAAAAAAATGATGTCCATATGGAATAATAATAATACCCTATAGCCATCTTAGCAACATTGATGATTGATGGGCAGCACCAAAAGTTAAACATTCAACTCTCCTGGAAAAGCAAAATTCTGCAAAATAGTATAAATTAGAACAAAAACCTGACAGATTAACAATTATTGGTCCTGTAATCAAACACAAAAAAGATGACAATACTCCTGAAATGTGCATAGAGAATTGTGTTTTACATATTTCTATTTTCCCAAATCATAGGTGCTCAACAGGCATCAAAAGGTTTTGTATGATATGTCAAAACCAATAGTGGCATTCATAAATTAATCATCAGCGGATTCTGAGGAGTGATGAGGGTAACTTGTCCATATATCTTCCCATGATTTTAGTCCATCGGTTACAGCCTTCACGACTGTCGCTGCCTCGTCCACGTTAACGCGGATTTGATCCTTGCTATCCCTTTCTCGGATTGTCACCGAGGATGTTGAATCCACAGTGATTGCAAAGGGTACACCAAGTTCATCTGTTCTTGCGTAACGCTTCCCAATTGACGTGCCTGTAGACACCAGAGTGTAAAAACAGTTAAAATAAAAAATATGGATGCACATGAATGAAATGAAGAATCAATACATGCATTTTGAATGAATGTGCCATGTACTCAAGAATAAACTCATCGGAATATAGTAAAACACGCAGACAAAAGATGCAGATGATCCTTAATTTCCTTATTAAAGAAAAATCATGTCTAACAGCTTCAATATTGTTGATGCAAGTGGCACTGATTATTTAATAAAAAAGGGTTTTTGTCTTGAGCACAAACCTGTAATGTCTATCTTATGTGAGATTCCGGCGACTGTCAATGACTTGGAAATCTCTTTGGCAACTTCCTCATACTGTTGATTCTGAACCAGTGGGAAAACTGTGCACTTAATAGGCGCCACAAGTGGGGGGAAACGGAATACATTTAACTGTTCATCCCCAGCTTTACTTGGCCTTGTGTAGAAAGAGTGTTCATATAGGCAATATATTATCCGTCCAATACCAAACGATGGCTCAATTACTGATGGTGTAAAAACTCTCTGGTGTTCTTTCTTTTTCTCCTTTGAAATTGAGACCATGTTCTTCTTAATGCACACATTTTTCCCAAGGGTGCAGACTTGAAACTCCACCTCTCCTTTGGATTCCAGTGCAGCCTTCATCTCCAAAGCTTCTTGCTCGTTCATTGCCTAAATGGTAAGAAGCTTAAAATTATTGTCATACAAGCAGCACCTCTAAAATCATAGCATAAAAAGTTATCGGCATCAATAATTGAGATGTATTTGATATTTACCTCCAACGCTTCAACCACATTCTTTTGGTTTCCCTTGAATGCAAGACCTAGCTCTTTTTTCACAGGAGCTATAACCAATTTCTAAAATTAAGATGTGTCAAGCAATCATGCTACAGATCAAAAAGAAAAAGTTACAAGCAACCACTAACAGTAATGATGATTAAAGCAATACCTCCACTTCCCGAGGTTCTGAAAATTTCTCAGCAGCAACAAGAGGTACACCACTCTTATCCTGTAGAGTAACAGAAAATTAATGCTGAACGAGTATGTAGCATTTCAATGTTTGGATAGTAAAGCACATATATTTTGCCAAAACTTTTCTGTTGCACTTCTTCTAGTAATTATTAGTAATTACAAGCCATAATTCATTCCCTCCAGTGTTTTATGCTGTCTGGCCTACAACAGTGATAAATGGAGCTAAGCCAAGCAATCTCACAAATACCCCGGCATCGTATAATGATAGTGACTAACCTAAAAATGACTTGATGATCATCTAGTCTACAATTTTAATCATAAAAGTTTCTACAGAGTATCAATTTCTTACAGTGTGAGCACGCAAGTCATATGCAGATCTATCTGCAATACCAACACACTCAATCCACCCATAGGAAGACTCAATCTCAGCATCCCAGCAGTCAGCAGCATAGTGAGCCATTTCATTGGCAAGATGTTGACGGAACCGCAGACGTTTTCTGTTTATACCAAGGCGAGTTAGGAAGAGAAAAACTCTCCCAATGAAGTAGCCAAGTGTTTCATTGTTTACAATTCCCTGAAAGCAATGAACAAGACAATCATCAGCAAGGGGGTGGCAACATGAAAAAATAGAGGAGAAATGTCAAAGGCACTAGCAATGATCAAATTAGATATAGTTAAAGCAAACCTTTGAAACAGCTTCACCAAGGCAAATTATCTTTGCAGATTGGCCTGACATTTGTTCTTCCCTTGGAAACATCAAGAACTCCAAGTTTGCAACTTCTGAATATTTAGGGTGAGATTTGTCCTCAGGATCAACAAAGTGCTCAATCTCTGCTAGTGTAAATTCACGAACTCTCAAAAGACCTTGGCGAGGAGATATCTGTACATATGAACAATTTTTTTGATAAATTAAGACCTCTCTCTCTCTCTCTCACACACACACACACGCGCGCACACACACACACACACACAAAATCACACTCAATGATAACATCTCAACAATGAAGAAGAACCAGAGACAATGTTCCATTTGCAGTTGAAAAGGAAAGATTAAAAACCTCATTTCTGAAAGCCTGACCAATTTGAGCTGCAGCAAAAGGGAGCTTGTTCCCATTGTAATAGTACAAATCTTTAAAATTCACGAATATGCCTTGTGCTGTCTCAGGACGCATATACCTGCAGCAGAAAATAAGAAGTTCAGTACTGCTTGAAGGCAGCATAATAATGGAGTGATGCAAAATTCTTTATAAAATTTTAGTAATTCACATATATAAAATTTGCAGATCTTTTACTAGCAAATATTGCCATTGAAAGATGAGTTAGTTTAAACTATATAGCTGAAATACTCACCCAGGGAGCAAACCAGACGGGCCAATTGATGTTTGAAACATTAAGTTGAATGGATACGGATCAGAAAGTGGATTCTTTGTGTCTGGAGCTGTAATACCATACTCTTTGATCTTTGCACCCAGCTCTTCAGCTGAGAGATCATCCAAGACTGCAAGCACATGCCTAAATTCAGCAGCCTTCTCTGTGGATATGGTAAGGTCTTTCTGAAGCTTCTCATTGCAAAAATCCTTAAGCAAGTGGTCAGCACGATAACAAGTCCCTGTTTTCTCATCCTTAACCATAAGGTCAGTGAATTTATCAACATGACCAGAAGCTTTCAGGACAACCTCAGGAGTCACACATGGGCAGTCAACCTCCAGCATGTTCTCCTCAAGAACAAAATGCTGAAAATGAAAAAAAAAATCTCTTAGTTTCTTACAAAAGAAACCATATCACTGAATCAGGAATAATTATAAACAACATTACCATAACTCAAATAAACATTTTGCTGTTCCTAAGGGCCCTTTCATTATCGTTTTACACATTTCCTAAGTTTCAACTTGCTTTGTGTTCCAGATATGCCACCAGGGTCCTGCATGTAATCTGGGTATGCTACCGGGCTCCTACATTCCGGATATGCTACCGGGTTCTACATTAAGGTTTCGAGAAACATTACCAGGGTTTGCATTTGGGAAATTTCACCAGAACACATCACGTTCCAGTAACATTACCCAAGTACTGGATCACCAAGGTTTTGCATTGTGGTGAGATTAACAGAGTGGAGGTTTTGCCCGGATGTTTTATGCGCAAACCAACAATATTGTAGGAGGTTTTGCATTCATACCGTAACGTTGCTTTGCATTACTCCAGAGACGTTACCGGATATTTGCATTATTCCGTAACGTTACCAGATGTTTAGCATTAATCCAGTAACGTTAATCGGATGTATTGCATTACTCCAGTAACGTTAAAGAATGTTTTGCGTTACTCCAGTAACGTTAAAGAATGTTTTGCGTTACTCCAGTACCACTTGATTCTGCGTTACAGTAAAGTTGCCAGATGTTTTGCATTCCTTTTGTAACGATACCGAAGTTCTGAATTCGAGTAACGGTCCCATAGTTTATGAATTCGGCAAACCAATAAACTCCCTAACCTTTGAGATCATTTCGAAACTAATCGACCACAAAGAATCTCACACTCATAGTTAACGGCTTACCTGACGCCAGAAAGCAGAACGTTAGACTAACGGCGCAACCGGAGGCCCGAAATCATAAACCCAGCGCACCTCGGTAAATCTTAAACGACGGAATGTAAAACAAAACGCCGCTCAAGAGTGTTAAGCACAGCCTGACGAAACGCCTCTCGGCTAACGGAGCCATCCCCGCGCCACCACTAATAACACTCAGAGCTCCGTTTCAACCCCGCCTTCTCAATCTTCAACTGGTTCAGCCTCGATCGCGGCGTCGATTTCCGGCTTGGTAGCTCTGGCGGCTTTGAGGGCCCTAACGGCGTTTCCCTGGGCCTCGACGGCGGATTGCTTGGCGGCGAAGTCTCGCCGGAGGGATTCCCGGTGGTGCGGCCATTAGGGTTGTGGGAAATGGCGCGTGCGATCGACGCAGGGAGAGACGAGAGAAATAATTGTGCCACACTAAGAGATGAGATTTTGAAAGTGAAAATATCGCATCGCGCTTGGATATAAAATCTTGCGTGATTTTTTTACTAGGTTTGAGATGGTGTGTTTTAGGGGCGTTTGGAAAGGGAGATAAGTGATTTCTAGTATGGGTTGAGATAACCCAGGAATAGTAATAGGTAAGGGGTATTGGAAACCCAAAATTCTTAGTTTTAAATTTTAAATTTGAAAAATGAAATAAGAAGTTTGATTTATGTTTTAAAATGTGCATTATCGTTATTATTATTTATTTTTGTAAATTGACGAATAAATGAAAAATTACCTTATTAATTTATGATAATCACACTCTATCAACATTTTGGATTCTTTCTAGTCTACGATTAAATCTTTACTAGTTAAGTTAAATGCTAAAAAATTCTCCTATCATATATAAGGTAAGAAGAAGTTCGATACGATGATAGGAACCTAAAAAGGTGTGTGGGGGCTGGTAACCCCACTCGAAAAACCATCAATCTAGTAAAAATCAGTTACTTTTGGTTGATTGCTGAAATAATTATTTTATTGAATATACTTTTTCATAATATGAATCGAAGAAGAATATATTTTTGATTTAGTTTTTCATAATCTGTTATTTTATTGAAATATTTGATCAAAATTTGTATATGTTCATTTTTTTTTGTTCTGTCTTTGTGCTTAGTTGATTCAAACAGCGTGTAATTTTCTACATTGTGTTATTAAAAACATAATTGTGTTTTTGCCTTATAACTGTACCAAATTTATTCCCATAAAAGAAGTCTAAAATTTATGCTGGAGATTTTTATTCATTACATAGATATCTCTATGGGTCGAACTGATAAGTCATTCAAAGCTTGAAGTTGCCGTCAGAACATACTACACAATATCAAGAGGAAGGACTTTAGAAATATTTTTGGTTTTTTAGTGTTAATGCGATTTAGGATTGATCATTTTCTTTATGCTCTTGTTATGTAGTTTGATTAGGTTTATCTCATTAGAATTTTATCCTTATTATAAATAGTGGTTGGCCTTTAGATTTAGATTTGCTTTTGATTAATAGACTTAAAGAGTTTTTTCCTGGGGTGCAACTGCAATCAAACATTTTGTTTCTTTTTTTGGATTTTTAGTTGATACAACTATCTGTAAGTTCATTAATTTTTGGTTATGAAAGTGTTTTTTTTTCTTCTTTTTCTTTTTTTTTCCCTATTTGAGCTTTATGTTTGCTTATTATTGGAGAAGATTTTTCATCAGATAAGATTACTAAATTCTAATCTTCTTATTGGTCTTGCATATAGATAATAAAGGACCTCCAGCTGCATTATTATTATTATTGGGTAAACTCCAGCTGCATTATTCATAAAAAATCTTAATCTTCGCTCTCTAAACTTCCAGAGTCTTTCGTTGAGGACCTTCTTGATGATTGTGGGCCTTTTCTTCTTCCTATTTATGTCTCAAATGAGGATGCCCACCTAAGAATCCATAATCTTTATGAGGAGAAGACTATCAGTCTGTAGACGTAAAATCTACCTGTATGGAAGGGGGGTCTGATCCCGCAGGCTGAAGCCACTAGCGATCTGCTGCATCTGCCACGTAGAAAACACACGCGTGAAGCGAACGAGAACACCCGGGCGGTGTTTGCCATAGGCACTCCATGCTCAAGTCAGCAAGGCTGAAAGCTATATAGTGAGGGCTAGGGAGTAAAAGTTACCGGATGTCTAGTTGGGGACTGTGACTACGGCAGTGATGTGAAGCTCTCAAGTCGAAGCTTTCATGTGAAGGTGTAATGTCGTCTCCCCTGAGGCAGGGCTGGCCTCTCTGCTTATATAGTGACTTTCTGGTCTCCCAATCCTGGTAGAAGTAGGAGTCCTAGTATGACTCTGATGCAAACCCTAGAAGAACTAGGGCCGTGGTAAGCTGTCTTACCAGTGTCCGAATAGGAAGGTGATTCTGATTAGGAGAGTAACTTTGAGTAGGAAAGTGATCAGGAATAGGAAGGTATTTTGAGGGGGTCGTGGGCTCTGGATTCGTCCATGGACCTAAGAAATGGACTGGGATTAGGAGGCTCGTGCTCACGTGGTTTGGGCCGGCTATATCTTGTATCGCATGGGCCTAATCCGGTTTGGTCATATCGGGATTGGGCCTGGCTTCTTCTTCATTGTCGGGCCCGTTTTCCTATTTGGGCCAAGGACGATTTTTGGCCCTAACAGTTTGCCCCCCACTCTCTGAGTTAGGAGTTTCTTAAGTCAAAGAGTAGGAAGCGATCGATGGGCGCTCAGTCGTCCTTCCGGGATGACCGGTTGTTGGTGTAGCTGATCCTGCAGGTGATTTTTGTCCCGGGGTCGTTCGGTATCCATTGCCGATCCGGAGTATGCCATCATTGGAGTGCTGTGCCCGATCGGTATGAAGGGCCGAAGGAACGGACAATGAGACTTTGGGGGCTCATAAGCTTGTTCGGTACGTCCTGTGGACTGGAGAGGTGAGGTGCTTCTATTGCCGAGGCGTCCGCTCGGCGGGCTAGGTTGAATGAACATGAGAGTTAAATTGGATGCTTGCTCGGTCGAGGTGTTCGGGCGATCGAATAAAAGAAATATGCGAGCTTTAATAGTTGGTTATCGGTTCGTCCGCTCTGGAAGGACGAATGGGTCGTGCCCATACCTTTTTACCTCAAAAGAGGTCGGGTCGGGCCATTCCTAGGCTGTTCGGCCGGTTGGGATGCTTAGCTGGACTCGAGAATCGTGGGCTCATGTTAGGTCCTAATCTGGTGGTCGCGGGCCGACTTGGTCGGGGAGGTAGGGTGATTGGAATTGAACGTGTAGACTCCTAGGTGCCGTGGATGCTTGCCACGTGTTCGGTAGATATCAAATTCTGGTTTTCGAGGTGGGAAAACGAAAAGTTGCTAACTACCAGCCAATTGCGAGACGCCATGTGTCCTCATCTGGCAGATTTCCCTTTAAAAACGACTAGCAGGCCGTTCGTCTCCCATTTGCTTGTTTTTTCTCTGTTTTTCTGCAGAACAACAAATTTTTTTTTCTTTCTGCGTTTTCAGTTTCTTTTCAACGACGACAGTTTCTCACGGCAGACTTTGGCTCCTTTCACGGTAAATATTTCATTTTCATGATGTTTCTGCGTTTCTTTGTCTATTTTGGTAGATTTTGCTATGTTTTTGGAAGATAGATTGTAGTTCTTGAGCTTTCGAGTAGTTTCGACGGGTTTTGAGGAGTTCGGAATATAGATTTTTGGAATATGCATGAATTTTGGTATTTCCAGTGGGTTTCCGGCGTCTTGACTGGTTTTTTGGGCCTTTTCCGAACGTTTTGGATGGTATTTGGGAAAGTGAAGTCGAGTTAGACGTAAGTTTGTTCGGTCGGTCTGCCTGACCGAACAGGGTGCCGTCTTGGAGTTTTAGGGGGTTAGGTCATCCAGTCCGTCCAACCGAGTGGGGAAAGGTGAGCGGAGTGGAGTGTAGAGTCGGTCGACCATCCAGACCGAGCGGGTGATCGGGTTGCCTGATCGGTGAGAAGGGGCGAGTAATATTAAGTTGACCTTAGGGACCAGTCGGTCGCCCAGGGCGAGCGAGTGGATACTTTGATCAGGGATTGGCAGGGTCGTTGCCCAGGGCGAGCGAGGGAATACCTTGATCAGGAGTTGGCTGGGTCGGTCACCCAGGGCGAGCCAAGGAGGGTTAGAATCTAGAGCCGGGTCGGTCGACCAGAAGGGTTGACCAAGGTTTAGGTTAAACTTCTCCAGGTAGGTAGACCGATACTGAGGGGCGAGTGGCAACTCTTTCTGATCTTGATAGGTCGGTGTCTCGGGTCGGGTGGTTAACACTTGGCATTTTTTGCAGCAAGGAGCGAGGCTCGG